CCCCGCCGGTTCTGTCTTCTCGGCGGGGGCAGTGGCAGCGGTAGTGTCGGAGGAGGGCAGCAGGGTCGCCGCTGTCCCCCGCCCGCCCATGCCGCTGCCCGCCGTTGGTCTGCAAACCTGTCTGTCTACTCACCGTGAGGCCATCTCGGTCCAGCGTCCATCTGACCGTCTGCCTGCGTCCCGTGTGTCAGCCTGTCTGTCCCTCCATCTGCTCGTCTGTCTCTGGCCCCCTCTGTCTGTCCATCTGTCCAGTGTTCTGTGAGTCCGTCTGCGCTTCTGGTCCATTCATCTGCTGTTCTGGCCTGTCTGTCCGCCTGTCTCTTCTCTCTCCTTGAGCTGCAGAGCCATGGCCCGGGGCCGCGGGGTCGCTGTCATCCTGGTCCTGCTGGGGCTGGGCCTGGTGCTGGCCATCATCGTGCCTGCTGTGGTCCTGTCACGCCGCCACGCCCCCTGCGGCCCCAAGGCCTTTGCCCACGCCGCGGTCGCTGCCGACTCCAAGGTCTGCTCGGACATCGGCCGGTGAGTGTGGGGTGTGTGGACGCCAGGTGGCCCTTGGCGGCTGGTTCCTCCTGGGGACGCCGTGGCCGGTGGTCAGGGTGTGGGGAGGCACACGTATGTGCGTGAGCACTGACCCATGGGTTTGGGCTCCAGTGCTGGCCAGGCCTGGGTGCGAAGAGGCAGCCCCAGGGCCTTTGCATGGACCAGGTGGTAGGAGCGCCCATGGGCAGACAGGGACCTGCAGCAGACGGCGCTGAGGGGCAGTGACAGTGTTGGCCAAGGTGGCGTGTGAGTCCTCCCCTGGCTCCAGGGCTCAGGCGGGAAATGGACCCAAGGAGGGTCCTGCCGTGGTGCCACTGGTCTGGTGGGTGCAGGCCCTGTCCCTGAGGCTATGGCAGTTCCCTAAAGCTGGGGTCTTCTCATGTGGAGGGGGGCGTGGGCAAAGGAGTTCAGCGTTCATGTGTGGGTGCTGCCCGGGGCTGGGGCCTTGTCTCTGTGTCTCTCAGACCGGGGAGACTCTGCTGGTGTCACGTCCTCCCACGCTTCCTGGCTTGGGCCAGCTTGGACCATATGATGTGTGGCGGGCCAGGGAAAGGGTGCTGCTGAAGAGGGGCCACAGCTGGCATTTCCTGAGCCTCTTCCAGGAAGCCCAGCCCAAAGGAAGCCGCTGCTGCCCGTAGCCAGATGGTGGGACACCCCTCCTGGCCCCTGGCGCCTGCTGGGCCTGCAGAGGGAGATGCTCTGGGGAAGCATTCCCTCCCGCCGGCCAGGGTCTGCTGCCCAGAACAGCTGCCTTCCAGATCGTGTGGGATCCACACGTTTTGTGCACTGAGGGGTCAGCCCTGAAGCAAAGGGGCGGCCCGCGATGTGGTGGGGCAGTGCACCTTGCACCCCGATCTTTCCAGCATGCTTTCTCCCTCTGTTCATTCGTACATTCATTTGCTTTTCTTTTTTTCTTTTTTTTTTTAGGGAGATTTTTGCAATCGGGCATATGCATTCACTGGAGAGAGAGAGAGAGAGAAAGAGAAATCACCCCTGAGGGATGGCCACACCACAATCCCTTCTCTTCCATTCTCCTCTAGGAATTTTGGGCATGCACACACACACACCTGGCATGAGTTTCAAGCCACCAGGTCCAGGACTTGAACTGCAGTTGGCCATGTGGGAGTCCAGCGCCTTAACCACTATGCTCCCGCGCCGGCCCCTTTTTCACCTTTTCATTCATTCCGACCTCTTTTCATCCGCCTACTCTCTGGGCTCCCAGGCCTTTCTGTCCCCTCCCTCGGGGCACTGGGCACGAATGGCAGCTCTGAAACAAGTGGGGACAGATGACTGCCTGGTGTTCCCAGGGAGGTCCCAGGGGATGCAAAAGAGAGAGACCACCCACCTGCCTCCCCGGACAGCTTCCTGCTCTGCTCTGGAGGACACGCAGAGACGGGGCACCCATTAAAAACGCAAATGCAAAGATGCGAGTGAGGCTGGGGGGGCCACGGGTCCCAGAGACCGTGGGTGAGCCTGTGCTCCCCAGGAGCGGGGGCTGCTGTGTCTCCCTGAGCCTCTGTCTGAGGTCTCTGTGGTGTGCGCTGCTGTGTGTGAGCGTCAGGGGTTGGGGTATCTGCTCGCAGCCTGCTTCCTCCACCTCCTCGGACTCCCCTGCGGAGCGGATGCGGTTTCTCCCCAGTGTTTTGTCAAACAACTCTCTCTACTTCCTGTTCTTGTTTTAAGAAGCCAGGAGTGGGAGGGAGCTGCCCCTCCTGCCCCCGATTTCCCACCCTCACCAGCTGCTACCGCAGAACAGGGGTCACAGGGTGCTGGCTAAGCTGGGGGCCCCCAGGAAGGGTGGCTGATGTTTGTGTGCACATGGGTCCGGCACGATGCCTAGCAGACAGGCGGTCAGTGGGAACGCAGCCACGGCAGGCCTGTCACCCCCCCAGCAGGATGTCCCAGTGGCTTAGCCTGGTGTGCAAATGGCAGCTCGGGGTCCTGAGTCAGTGCTCGCCTTCCAAGAAGACTGAGCTTCAGGGTTCCCGGTGTCCCTTGGGCTTTGTGCCGTGGCTGCCTGGAAGCGCCTCCAGCCGGATCTTCTGCAGGATGATTCACGGGTCCATTGACTTAGGAGGAAATTAGGTCTATGAGAGAGGGACCCACGTGAGGGGACCCTGAGCGAGCAGGCTCCGCTGGGACTGGCCCCCAGCTCTGCAGACTCCCAGGGAACTGCTGCTGCTCTGGCAGGGCTGTGGAAGGGAGGGGTTTTCCCAGGACCCCCCATCCTCCACATTGGACCCCCTACCCCCACCTCCAGTAAATGCCCGCCCAGATCCCAGGCTCTGCCAGCGAAGGCCAGGGCTTTACCGCAGCTGAGGGGGCACTTGTAGAGGAGGCTGGTAGGTGCCCAGAGTGCTGGTCCTCTGGCACCCTGACAGCAACCTTGGGGAGACGGAGTCCAGGCTGGCACTTGGGGAGCAGGGGTGGGGCTGGCGGCTGATTGCCCCAGAGCGGGGTTCTGTCCGGTGTCGGGGGGCCGGGCTATGAGGACAGGGATGGACACATGGGGCTCTCTCGGCATGGGAGGACCCCCTAGATGACAGTCAGGCTGACTAATAACCTTTACAGGGACTCGACCTGAATGTGGGTGGAGGTCTCAGGACCTGGGGTAGGGTTTAAGGTCAGGGTTAGGGTGTGGGTCCCCTCCCCTCACCACTCCACCTGGACCCGTGACCATCACTGCAGGCCAGCTCCCCAGGAAATGACCGTGTCTCCTCTCAGGAACTCAGGAGGAAAGAGCCTGGGCGCCTGGAGACTCAGTACACACGTGCACGTGTGCGTGTCCTTGAGGGGGTCTTCAACAAGTCCAAGGAGGGCCGGCCCTGGAGCCTAATGGTTAAGGGAGCCAGATCCCACGCAGCTGACCGCAGTTAGAATCCCGGCTCCCTGTGGCTTGAGAAACACACAGTCGTGTATGCGTGTGTGCGTGTGTGTGTGTGCGTGTGTGAGTGTGTGAGTGTGTGTGCACGTGGACTCCAGGTCCCTACAGAACAGAGAAATGGAAGAGAAGGGATTGCAGTGTGACCGTGGGTCATTTGAGAAGTGCTGTCTCCCTTTTTCTCTGTCTCTGTTTCTGGAGGGGACACGCAATCTCTGGCAATACAAAATTTTGTTTAGAATTTTTTTTTTAATAATTATTTTACCTAATCGTAGTCATTATTATTATTATTTCATCTGACCAGAGAGATAGAGAGAAGGAAAGTGAGAAAGTAAGCCTCCAGGTTCGGGACTTGAACCACGGTGGATCACGTGGGAGTCCAACACCCCAACAACCAGGCCACCTGTCTCCATATTCATGGAGAATATTAATCTGTAATTTCTTCCTCTTTCTTCTTTCTTTATTTCTTCCTTTCTTTTCTTTTCCTTTCTTTCTTTCGTTCTCTTCCTTCCTTTCTTTCTTTCTTTCTCTCTCTCTCTCTCTTTCTTTCTTTCTTTCTTTCTTTCTTTTTTCTTTCTTTCTTTCTTTCTTTCTTTCTTTCTTTCTTTCTTTCTCTCTTTGTTTTTTAGAATAGGATATTTGTGAGGGTAGGGAGTGAAAGTGAGAAATCACCTCCGGGGGGATGGCCACACCGCAATCCATTCTCCTCCATTCTCCTCTCAGGATTTTGGGCACGCACACACATGTGACAGGCATGTTTTTCAAGCTGAAAAGATTAGGACTCAAACTGGAAGTCGGCCATGTGGAATCTAGCCCCTTAACCACCATGCCATCGACTGACCCTCTTTCTTTTTTTCTTTTAAAAATTTATTCAGGGGTCAGCCGTGGCCTGCCTGGTGATTAAAGTGGCTGGATCCCACAAGGGCCAAAGGGGTGATTTGCCTCCCAGATCCGGCAGCTTGGAAACACTCCAGGTGCATGCGCACACATGCCTGAAATTCCAAGAGGAGAATGGAAGAGAAGGGATTGTGGCATGGCCATCCCCTCATCCTGAGGGTGGTGTGCTTCCACACTTTCTCTCTCTCTTTCTCTCTCTCTCTCTTTCTCTCTCTGGTGAGTACACACACCCTACATTTCTTTCTTTCTTTCTTTCTTTTTTTTTTTTTTTGGAGAGGTTTTTGCTATAGGGTGTGCGTGCTCACCAGACAGAGAGAGACGGAGACAGAAAATGAGAAATCACCCCCCAGGGGGGATGGCCATGCCACAATCCCTTCTCCTCCATTCTCCTCTTGGGATCTTGGGCATGCACGCACACGTGCCCAGCACGAGTTTAAGCCACCGGGTCCGGGACGCGAACCGTGGTTGACTACATGGGAGTCCAGTGACATAGCCATTACGCTAACTGCTGGTCCCCCCACATTTCTTTCATGAGAGAGAAAAGCACCTTCAATAGAGTCTTGCACCACAATCCCCCAGCAGCATTTGCAGCCAGGACCCTGGGCACACGTGCCCGGCACATGCAGGCCGACTGCAGAACCGAACCTATGATCCTCACATATGCAACGCCCTTGTTAGGTTTGGATATGAAGGTTCTGCTGGCCTCGCGGAGAGAGCTGAGAAGTATTCTTTCTTATGCTTGCTAGAAAGAGCTTTAAAACAATTGTTCAGAAGAATTTGTTGGTTCAACTGTGAAGCCTAAGTTATGAGTGTGTGTGTGTGTGTGTGTGTGTGTGTGTGTGTGAAGGTTTTAAATAATGTATTCTGTAGACCAGCACATGGTATAATGGTTACAGCGCTGGATTTCCATGTAGTCGGCTGCAGTTTGAATCCCAGACTCAGGCCAGGACTTAAAACTCAGGCTGGGTGCACGTGAAGATCTCAAGAGGAGGATGGAGGAGACAGGTTTGCAGTGTGGCCACCACCCCAGAAGGGTGATTTCTCGCTTTCTGTCTTTCTGGCAAGAACATGTACCCTATAGCAAAAATCTCCCCCCAAAATTTTTAAAAATAATAAATTAAAAAAAGAAATAAATAAAAGTATTCTATTTCTTGAATAGCTTTTAGACTAGCAAATTTTTACTTCCTCTTGGGTTCATTTG